GGAGAGTTGGATGCTGAGGTTCATCGGTGTGTTCGACTATGCCTTGCACGAGCCGCTGAGCAGAATAATACCAACAAGCCAAAACATGTCAACATGCACTCAGCCCTCTCCCATCCCCACTTGCTGTTCGCAGCACAAAGTATGATCACCGCGTGCAAGTGTGAAGTGCTGAAGCAAGACGCAGTGCTTCCTCTGGCCTGCAGAGAGGCCCACATGCCAACGCTGCACCGCGAACCTCGTCTAGGCCAGCTTGTTACGGTGGCAGATTCCAGGTGCTCTTCAAGCACATGTTCCCTTCAGGCACAAAGAGACAGTCGAATCGATGTCATCCATATCTGGTGCGCGGCATATGTCGCAGCAGCAGCCTCAGTGCGCCCGAAGCAGCCAAAACACTCAACACAATGTAGGCATTTGTTCAGCAGACCCTACACCCTAAACCCTAAACCCTAAACCCTAAACCCTAAACCCTAAACCCTAAACCCTAAACCCTAAACCCTGTCCAGAGAAGGCAAGCCGTTGATGAGTACTTGGAGCTCGTGACGAAAGAGGAGGAGGCAAACATTGAAAAACCTTGGTATCGGGGTTTAGGGTCTAGGGTTTGGGGTTTAGGGTTTAGGGTTTAGGGACATTCTCCTCCGGCTGTCGGTTGCGGCTCGCGGCCAGCGCCAGCTGGATAAACGCGCACGGGAACAAAGTACCAGCCTCACTTGGAAGCAACTAGCTTTCGGCGCTCGACCCGACAGAAGCGAAGTTGGGGGTTTCTCCGAGTGGTGCGAGAGGGGAGAGTTTCCCCAAATAGGGTACCCAAGCCCAATTGGGGGATCCTTTAAAGGTACGATTTCGAGGTCTATCCGGGCATCCTATTTTGGGAAACGCCCATATTGCCACAGCGCTTCACACAGAAGAGCCACGTCACCGGACGCTGCCAGCTTTATCGCAGTTCCAGGAACTTCCAGTCGCGCGCGCATGACTGCAAAATACGCTTTAGGGTCAATGGAGGCAGCGAATTCGATCAACACGCCACCGACGAAATCGCACGACGTCGCAAGGGAGACGCACTCGGACGTTGGCATGTTCATGCACTTTGGTTGTTGAAGACGGCGCTGTATTCGCATGAGATTGACCGGACAATACGTTGGCCAGATGGCGATGGCATGCCCGACCGTGCAGTGCAATACTGCCAGGGAGCTGCATCAGTTGCCGTTTGCGCATTGAGCGGCGCCGATATGACTCACCCTCGATGTTCGCCAGCGCCGCCTTGCCATTCTCCGCCGATGCGATGTGAGCTCTTAATGTGGCATGTATGTAGTTGTTCGCATCGAATGAGCTTAGCTGCGCGGCCTGCCTGCGAGTGACTGGCCGCAGTGTTGGGTCTGGCAGGTCCCTTCCCTTGGCCTCCCCTATGCATCCTATTGCATCCTTTTGTCTCCCTCGCTAATCTCGCTTCGTGTTGGATGCATGGGTCTGCCGGGTTCCCCTTAAGGCTCTGCTGCGATATTTGCACGATGACTTCACACGCATGTGCTTGCACGGATTTCAAGGGTCAACGCGGGGCGTCGAAGTTGCAAGATCCTGAGTGACCTTGCGTGACCCTAAACCCCCAGCAGGATACCCAAGCTACAAACTGCAAAACGCACGCCGCAAAATTTCGGGAGCCCGAGACTCCTTGCAAGCAGCCAATGTTGCAAAAGTCGCGCGCCTCGTGTGACGGTAATGAACGGCAATGCGATGCTTCGCCTTGCGTCGCTGCTTCTCGCACGAGTGCTTGTAAGGATTGCGGTTGACGTTCCCACTTCCCCCCATTGCCCTTCCCCAAGCTCCAAGCTCTCCGTGGGGCAACGAGCTCCGCGATTCCTATAGACGGTCTGGCAGCACCTGGCCGGACGCCAAAGAACGCCCAAAGTTGGCCAAAGTTGCAGATTTCATGCTGATGTCTCCCAAGAATCAACTCCAGGCTGGACATCTAAATTGCAAGATATGCGGCGACGACGTATGCGGCGATGTCTTGAGCGACCGAGAACCTGCAGAATACACTTCGGTTTCCACCGCAGCTCGCTACGTTGAAACATGTTGAAGCGCAGTGCCTGGATTTGATATGAAGTGCCAGCTGGGCACTGCAATCGACGTTTCCGAGAGCCGGTTGGAAGGTTGTTTCCTTGACGTGTAGTACAAGGATCGTACTGGAAGCAACATTTCCGTGAGACGGCTGGATTTTGACGGTTTTTACAAGTGACGAAAACCAGTATCTCCTGTGGATTTGCTGCCAACAGGCACTCAAAATTGTTGTACCAACGGCCAAAAACATCAGCGTCCGCCAGATATCGTGAGTTTTGAGCCCTGGCGAGTTGACACCGACGTTCAGCTTCCACTGCGCGCCACATCGAGGTCTCGCATTTGCTGATGTGTGTTTTTGCACGGATGTGCACTAAATCACTTCTTTGCACTGTCTGTAAGGTCGGGGTGGGCAGGAATGATTGCGTTCATGTCGTGGGTCTTTCAGAAATTTTGTGATTCCGCATTTTTGGTTTCTTAAGCTACGTTAACTTTTCCAGCTTCCCGAATCTGCTCTTTTCGGTTTCCCGAACCATGTGTTGTATGGATTCCGAATCCGCGGCGGCGGCCGGCGGCGGCCGGCGGCGGCCGGCGGCGGCCGGCGGCGTCGTCGTCATCGTCGCCGCCGCCGGCGTCGTCGTCGTCGTTCTTGCCGCCGTCGTCATCGTCGTTCTTGCCATCGTCGTCGTCGTCGCGGTGCTGGTGCCGGTGCCGGTGCCGGTGCCGGTGCCGGTGCTGGTGCTGGTGGTGGTGGTGGTGGTTCTTGTCGTCGTGTTTCCTGTCGTTCTTGTCGTCGTCGCTCGTTCTCCTCGTCGTCCTCCTCCTCGTCCTCGTCCTCCTCGTCCTCCTGGTCCTCCTCCTCCTCGTCCTCCGCGTCCTCGTTGTCCTCGTTGTCGTCGCCGTTGTCATCGCCGTTTTCGTCGTCGTTCTCGTCGCCGTTGTGGTCGTTTGTTGTTGTTGGTTGTTTGCTGTTGATGTTGTTGTTGCTGCTGTTGTTGTTGGCGGCCCCGACGTGCTGTAAACGCGCGTTTTGCCATTTCCATCGGCATTTGCAGTGTTGCGTGTGGTTGACATGCCGAAACACCACATCCGTCAGTGTTTTTGGCACGTGCGATTTCCACGGCATGTGTGGAAAACATCGTTTTTGACGGTGTTTCGTGTGTGTCCGTCCGTATACAAAGCTTCTATTTTTGTTACGGCGTGTTCGCTTCTTTTTCGTTGTTCGGTCAGCGCATCCATGCCCGAACGATGATTACGTCCGTGTTACCTGTGCGTGCGATTGGCCAGAGCATCCATGCCGGCACGATGATAACGTCCGTGATCGTCCGTGTTACCCGTGTGTGCTGGCGGCCAAAGCATCGATCCATGCTCGCACGATGATTATGTCCATGCTGCCAAAGCATCCGTGCCTGCACGATGCTTGGGATGCCCTTCTCGCAAAGGGGGATGGTTCTACGTCATTCCACAGTCATTCAATCAAACATCCTCTCTGTGTCGCACGTGGCGTGTGCTATCGCGTGCTCGTCCGCAGGGGTTGGAAACGTGTGTTTTTTCCGGTTTCGCCGCTGCGCACTTCCCAGACCCAACCAGCAATGACTCGCTCATGCAGGCGCCGCGTTGAGGCGCGCATGTTTGCCATCGCGGCGCTCCACAGAGCTCTTTGCCTCCGCCGCCCCCCCGGCAGTCGGACCTGAGCCTTCGCGCTCAGTGCGTTCTGAGCTATGCGCAGCATGTGGACCGGTCTCTCGGGCTGGGAGGTGATGTACACATCGTCGATGAATGCATACAACATCTCTGTTAAGTTGGCTCGCCGTTGCGACAGTGCAAGGATGTGTATACGGGTTCGTGACCCCCTGATGGCAGGATTGCGAGGCAGCAACACGGCCGCATCGTGCTGTGGCGAAGGCGTCCGTGGCGGTCGGTGGCGCCGTGCGGAGATAATGGCACCTGGGAGCCGCGCATAGCAGAGTAGGAGCCACGCGGACTGGCGCCAGCGCTTGACCTCACCCATGCGTTGCGCTGGGGCCGAGTCGTCGCGTTGGCTAAACCCGCGCGCGGCGTGCACGCGCTAGTCATGGGCGACGAATTCCGGCGTCTCGCCGCCCGCACCCTGGCGCAGCAGTTCAAGCCTGTGCTCCCTTCCAGTATTCACTGAGCGTGCGCGTGGCCTGAGGCCATGGGGCGTGCCCTGCGCGTAGTCACGGAAACGGACCCTCGATGGCGGAGGTGCATACGACCACATCTCCAGGGCGTTTATGAACGATGCATTGCGGGAGCACGCCCCTATATGCCTTGGGCCAGCATGCGGCCTCCGCCGTGGCGCTGAGGGAGCATCGCCCAGGCACGCTGGCGGAGTTGATGCGCCCCATGCTGGATGCTGCGATGCCCTTTGTTGGATATCTGCGTATGCTTGACCTGGAAGTGCCGGCTTGTGGTAGCCGACGCTTTTCACTGACCTTGATCCTGCGTCTCCTGCGCTGTTCTGCATCTTGCTGTCGCAGGGGGTGGGATGGTGCCAGCGGTGCCCTGACCGCACTGCCGACCAGTGCGGACATTGTCGTGCCAGACGCCGAGTACCGCGTCATGCTGCTCCGATGGCTGCGATTGCCGCTCTCCTGGGCGCCCAAACGATGCCATGGCGGTGGCGGCTCGCATCTGCCGCGGCGCGCGAGGTCGTAGCTCACGGCCCTGCCGTTGTAGCGCGGCGCTCAGATCGCCGTCGACACGACGCTTTAGAGCCCGGTGCAGAGGACCGCCCCTAGGGCCCGATGTTGAGCCCGGGCACGCGCTCCACCATGCCGAGGGTCGCAAACACGAGTGTAACCTGAGCTGCGGGCGGGGCGGCCAAGGCGATATCGGTTGGTCGTGTTCGGCATGCTGGTCGGAGGGCGTTTCAACCCCAGTTCGTGTCGCTGGCAGCCTGGCGCGCTCATGTGCAAACGTTGCCTTAGCTGCCAGTGCAGCCAAGAGCCTCCGGTGGGGGATCTGCTCGGCGAGCGGCCAGGGCAGATCGACTGAGGGCAGAATAAGCGGTCCACGCGGTCCGACCCGCCATTCACTGCTGATGCACAAGGATGTGTGAGGAGAAAAGATGCTTCCAACAGAACATTCACGATCTACACAGCCATTAATTACAGTTGTTGTTGTACCACGCAGGCCATGCCAAACGCATCCCGAAAAAATATTTCAAATATCGAATAGAATAAAATTCATGCGGCGCGTTGTTGGCCCCGACGTTGTTGTTGTTGTTGTTGTTGTTGTTGTTGTTGTTGTTGTTGTTGTTGTTGTTGTTGTTGTTCTTGTTGTTGTTCTTGTTGTTGTTCTTGTTGTTGTGCGAATGCCGCTGTGTGCTACCCCCTGCACCCAGCCATGGTTTTGCTGTGACGTTGGTGCAGCACAATTGCAGCTGCAACGGCCTCTTGGCCGACATGGGTCGCAGTGCGCCACCTCCGGCGCGTTGCCGCTTAGCGACGTGCCCGTCGCTGATGCACGGGCTCGGCACCAATGTTGGGCCGGTTTGCTGGCAGTGGCGGCGCATGGCGGCGCATAGCACGCACATGATCGCACATGCATGCATATGCATGCACAGGCCAGCTCCCTCCTTGAGCTGCCGAGTCCTGCATTGATGGAGAAGGGCCAAACCTCCACGAAATGTTGACTGACGGGCGGCGGCAAGTGCCCTCACACCACGGCATGCTGTTGCTGTTTGTGCATCATTCAATATTTCATTCATGCTTGGCTTCAGAAATCGGGAAGATGTTGATCTTGCCTCGCTGCGTTTCGCAAGGGGCACAAGCGCACGTTCCATGCGCCACGAGATTCCAATAAGCGTGCCTGCATGGTTAGTTTGCAACACGGCACCTGCCCACGCACGCGAAGAGCTGAAGATTTTAACCCTGACGCGGCCGTGCAGGATGCAGCCGTGCTGCGCACCGCCCTCCGGCGCAAGCAGACCACCTACCTTGAACTCGATGCAGGTGGCGCGCAAACCCTCTGCGTGCTCGGCAGCGAAGTGGGCAGGCGGTGGAACGCAGCCGAAATGCGGCTTGTCGCCTTCCGCCAGCACTGCGAGCGGGACCGCCACTGGAGCGAGCTTTTTGTGGCCGTGCAGCAAGCCGTCGGTTATACGGCGCTAGGCGCGCCCGGGCCATGCCGGGACTGGCACATGCTGATGCACCGGCCTTGGATGAGGTCATGGACCTCGCGGAAGGGCCAAGCCGCCTTTCAGGCAACTGCATCAAGGACTGAGGACGGGGTGCTCTTTTGACTATGCCTCGGTAGGCCCCAAACAGTGTAAGACATTCCTGCAACGATGGATGTTTCACACCCCCGCAAGCACTGCGCGGGCCCAGAAAAGCGAAGAGCAACCACTTTGCGGCTTCAAAGGCCGTCGATACCAATGATGTTATTCTTGTCATAGTTGGATACCATTTTACTTTTTTAAAGGGTACTTGCACCCAATAAGGAAGATAAATTTAGATTTTCAATATTCTCCCAACCATGCACTAGTTATAGCAGGTGCGGTTCCATCATGTCCCACGGCCCTGGCCTGAGGATGGGTGCGTTCGTCGGTTGACACTTGTGCAATCATCCGTGCCACTAAGGCCCCCACTGCAAGTCGAGTATTTTCAGCTGGACAAGGATCAGTGGGGTCGTACGGTTACGGTTATCGTCGGTTATCGTTGCCACTACTGATTTTGCAAAAGGCAACATTTCACACTTCATGCACTGAGGGCAATACAGGGTTAACACTTCATGTGGAAACGCAAAAAGGAAGCCATCAAACAATGAAAATGTAGTTACGCGAATTTGGTCTTTGATTCAAGTGCAACCTTCATCGTTTCGCAGCACAGAACCCATCGGAAAAACCGAGACCTGGGCAGCAATGTGCTTTCAAGCCGCGCTTGGAGGTAAAAATACAGGTAGGGTTTTGCGTCGAGCAAAACTTCAAGCGTGGTTGTTTTTGTGGTGTTCGCCCGGATATAGGTGCAATCGTGTAATCATTTAGGGAATTTGATCCTCGCTGTCAAGACGCAAGAGGGATTTTGACCCCTTGACCTGAGAAGGCAATGTTTTCATACACGAACGCGCTTTCTTGATGAAGATATCTTCCTCCAAGTGCTCGCAACCCTATTCATGAATTTGATTTGACGTGCACAGGGACCGCGGCGACCGTTCGTAAAAAGGCGTGGGAAAAAAAAAAAAAAAAAAAAAAAAAAAAGATTTGACGCCTCTTGGCAGCGACCTGTTTTTTTGTAGCCTGGGGTTTGGCTGGAGCCCTTACTCACAAAGAATTTCGCCGACAATTGGTTCGAAAACATCCGTTTCATTTTGCCGACTATTCCACGTTTCGTAGCTCATTTTTGTTTCACATTGTTTAATATCAAAATCCACGTAATGTATTATTCGTTCACAATAGTTCGTATTCTTTTTTAGTGTTCATTATGTTTCATCTCATCCCATATCGTTTCGTATTGTTTCATTTCATGTTATGTCATTGTATCGTCTTGGTATGCTATGTTTCGCGATGACATTCCGTAGTACCACATATACCTGTCAGTGTTCATGATGTATTGCATATTAGACATGCTATTGCATGCGACGTTGTTATGTCCGGTTGTTTCGTTCTCGCATTGTACGCATGGAAGCGCGTGAGGACAACGGTGAGGCTGTGGACAAGCTTCCTGTTTCCAGCTCGTGCCAGCGTCCCAGAAGCATGAAGGGGAAGATCCAGTGTTTAGGGTTTAGGGTTGTTACTAAAAATCCCTGAACTTGGGATGTTCCCCCTTCTAGGAACAGTCCGCAACAGGCATGAGGATAGGGGGTACCATCATCCCTACTGAGGACTGTTGGTCTAACGGGGCACACCCAATCCCTGAACCCTGAATTCCCTGAACCCTGCAAACCCTAAACCCTGAAAACCCCTAAACCCTAAACGGCCCTAAACCCTCCTAAACCCTCAACCCTCAACCCTCAACCCTCAACCCTCAACCCTGAACCCTGAACCCTGAACCCTAAACCCTAAACCCTAAACCCTAACCCTAAACTCTAAACCCCTGAAAGCCCCAAACCCTGTAGTCCAAGGACGTGAATCGCCATGGGCGGAGGCTGTGGCCGGCCTCCCTTTCTGATCTGCGGGACCCGTGTGGTCGTCGCGCGTCTTTAGGTAGTCAATGCCTTTGCTTTACATTTCATCCCCGCGTCTCCTTTGCACACTCATTGTGAATTTTGTGTTTTTTCCCCTTCGCGGCTGTTGTAATCTCACATTCCTCATGACATTGCCATCACAAAATATGTCGGCAGCGTGTTGTCTTGCGGTGATGAATTGCGGAATTATCCTAGACGTGGGCCCTTGACATCCGTCCATCCCAACATGTGCGACACATTTGATATGTGGAAGTTTCATTTGTTCCTGCCAAACAAAAACCGGCAAGGTCCACGAATGGTACTGCCAATAGAGGGATCCAGGAAGGACCGTGGCACAAATTGCTTGTCACTTTCTGTTCCAGGTACGGGCAGTCATGCACTTTAACCGTTGCCGCTGTCCATTCTCACGTGTTCACCCGAATTTGGATTTGTTGTGCAGCTGCATGGCAAAAGCAAAGCGAAGCTTCACATTTACGGCAAGATACGAATCAGTGGTGGAATGCCAAAACCCCTTGTTAGAGGTTGCTTGGGGGGGGGGGGGGATGATTGAATAGCCGGAAGTAGCGATAGCAGTTTGGAGTGCTTCGCTGCTTTCACCGTGAAGTCAGCATTTGCACGTTTAGCACAATCATACAGGGGAAATTTCCGTATGTTGTCACTACTGCTGCTGCAATTTGATGTGGCTGTGTCAGCACGTTGGCTCGCAAAAGAGTCCACCATGTGGTCCCGCATGGTTGTTTGTAACATCAGCACCACCGAGCGACAGCAATGTTTTTCAGTTAAGCAGTTAAGCAGGTTTGCAATACGTTGTACCCATAAGGCGAAGGGTTGCTGACAGAATTCTAAGTAGTCCCGTGCACGGAGAACCGCAAACAACAAGCACATGCACTCAAGATAGTTCACGTTATTCACGCGAAGTTGCGCCGAGCAACTCGGGCCATGGGAATCTGTTTAGGCGGGCAGTTGTGGTCCACATTCCGCCTTTGTTGGTTTGCATGACGATCCTGCAGTGAGTCTTGAAATGTTTTGGCAACTTGACCACAATGCAGGCAAGCACAGGAAAGTGGGTTGCCCAGGTGCAGTGTTCGTGATGCCGCCGAAGTTGTTGCAAACCACTGCAAACTTTGTCATATTTACGGCACTACCATTGCAAACCCGCACCAAGGATCACGACAAGTCGCTTCAGTCAGCTGCAGGCCACAAGGGTCAGCTGCACACGTAAGGAATTGGGATATAGCTCCCAAGGCTGAGGTTTCGAATGCACTGGAAGGTAACTGGTTTGGATTCGCAACATTCGTCGCGCGGCTTGAGTTGCGAAACGCCCCTTTCATGTCGGACTTGCCAAGGGATCTTCGACACCGAAGATTTCGTCCGACAGCTTTTCGTGGTCACAGAAGGCCTCGTGAGTCCTGCCCTCAGAGTGGTTGGTGAGGTGCCCAAACGGGATTTCGGCCTTAAGGCATACAGCAATATAGGTCAAGGGTTTGACTCGAACTGAGGCACCAACAAAGCTTACACACAGGCTGGAGCGCGAAGTCGCAGTCCTGGGGCTTGCTGTGAGGCTGTTGCGAGGATTCGGCGCTTGCAGTGGTTGAGGCATCCCGAAACCCTAAACCCTATAACCCTATATAAACCCGAACCCTAAACCCATGTTCCACTGAATGCCGCTGAGAAGTAGGACTGAGAGGCTTCGTGATTGGAGCGCTCGCGCAGGCAGTGTCACACACCCGCTCCATGACATTCACCGGAGGCCTTCTCTGTGAAACTATAGGCTTCTTGGTTGAGCTGGTCCATTGACGTCACGACCCATGTGTCCATAAATCATAAATGAAAAAACGAATATATGAGTTTAGGATTTAGAGTTTAGGGTTCAGGGTTCAGGGTCCAGGGTTTAGGGTTTAGGCTTTAGGGTTTCCCCACGGGAGTCCGGATGCAAAAAAAGGGTTTAGGGTTTAGGGTTTAGGGTTTAGGGTTTAGGGTTTAGGGTTTAGGGTTTAGGGTTTAGGGTTTAGGGTTTAGGGTTTAGGGTTTAGGGTTGTCTACGAGCAGCCTCACCTCACGAGCCCAAGTGTCGTCCAACGGCTTCGTTTGTTGTTGCGGCCGGCTTGGCCAAACTGTTATGTGCAATCCCATGTCAGGCTATACCCCTTGAATTAAAACCCCTATTTATAATCCCTAGGAAGGGATATGAAGACCCAAATTTTTCTGGCCGCCTGAGAACCCGCGCCAGATGAAAAAGATCGGCTCGCCAAAACTGAGCTTTGCCTGGAGTCTCAGCACTCTCAGCTGCTCAGTCAGACCAGGCTGTCCAGTAGTGCCCTTATTCCCTTTTTGGGGGCTTTAGGTTCCCTTATCAACCCCTTTAGACAAAAGGGCGCCCTTTTTATTCCTAGGATACTGGGCAACCTAGACATGCCAGAAGTTGTTGTACTTAGCGGTGTGGTACGTAGGTTTCTTCGGTTCTTTTCGTGCCGCCCTCAGAAGCAGGAGTTGGTGCTAGAAGCAAACCTCGCACAGCTCGACAGAGGGATAGACAGACAGGGAGGGAGACAGAGAGAGAATCGATATCCCTGCCGATCAGACACCCGTGCACGTTTTGGTCCCGCAGTGCAGATTAAAATTACCGCGCGGAGGCAGCATGCGGACTGTGTGGAACACGATGGGACTGAGCCTTCTAAGACTTCTGTTTGCCATGGACAGGGGGCGCACGCATCACAGGGGACCTGGAAGGGCGAAAGAGTGAGACAGTGCGTGAGAGAGCCAGAGTGAGAGCGAGATTGGCATGGGCACGTATGCATATCTGCGCGCATGTCTGAAACAAGGATAAGAAGGTAAGTATTTGTGTGTGTGTGTGCACATGCACACATGCGTATGTGTATATATATATATATATATAAATACACATATGCATACACAAAAATTTTGTATGCGGCTACGTGGACTTGGTTGAGCTGTGTCCTTTAATGCTCCTGGTGGGGCACTTCGCATGTGCTCTGACACCAAGGTAGCTACATCCTGCACGATTGCACGGTCAAGGTTGCTTCCTCAGGTTTCTACTATTTGCTGAAGAACCACCCCAAAATACAAATATTCTTCCTTACTAATTAGGGGCCAGGGACGTGTACTGGTCAAAGCCCAAAGATGGATGGAGCTGGATTGCGACAAGCACAAACCCCTGTATGTCTAAATGACCTCAAAGAGCTCGGCAGACAGGCTGAAACGGTATAAGCCGGGGCGGAGGATAACGTCTTTGGATCGTCAGTAAAAACGAGACACGTTGCCACCCAAAGTGTGTCGGACGTGAGGAGAAGGAGTACAACCTCCAAATGTCGGCAAAAGGGTTGGAGGCGCGCGTCCGGAATATGGAGTGATCCTCATCTTTCATGGGGGAGGGCCTAGTAGTAGAGTAGGTAACTTTTAACCTTTTGGGTTAGTACAATCCCCTTATCATCCCACAGGTGAACCTTGAATTCCCCCAGGTTGCTGCACCCCAGGTTACTGCACAACTGGGAAATGAATTTCGAACCCTACCCTCCCCCCCCTTCCCCTGCGGCTCCCTGCGCAGCCTAATCATTGAGACCGAATTGGCTTTGTCAGAAGACCCCAGATCTTCCAAAACCCCTCAATTAAGGAATATACCCTAATTCATAATAAGGATCCTTATTATAAATTAGGGTATATTCCTTAACTAAGGGGTTTTGGAAGATCTGGGGACGGTTCAAGATACAGAGCACTAATGCCGATAGGTTGCGTGATTGCTCAGCCCTAAAGATCCCTACGGGTTCACTTACAACATTGTTTTTGTTCGAGGTTGTTTGTTAGTCCACTGAAGAGGGCAGATGGCGTTGAAGGTGTTTTGTGGTTTGCAAGTGCGAAGTGGGCTTGAGGCTTAGATTCATTGTTTGAAGGAACAAAGAACAACGAAAGGTTGTTGCCTCATGAAGAACTGTTTTAGAGCATTGTTGATCTTTTACCACCATTGTTGATGTTGCACCCAAAAAGCTTTATAACCCACATTAGGGCTTTACGAGAAGTGCAGCCATGGCTGCTACGGCGCATTGGTCATGTGCGTTTGTCTGGCGTTGCTCTTGCTGGAAGCCGCCCAAAGCAAGGGAGCCATGTTCATCCTGCCCCAGAAAAACAAGAAGGCGAGAATCAAGCCCAAAACACCCTAAACCCTAAACCCTAAACCCTGAACCCTAAACCCTAAACCCTAAACCCTAAAACCTAAACCCTAAACCCTAAACCCTAAACCCTAAACCCTAAACCCTAAACCAGAATCCGAAGAAAAACAAAAAAAAACATGGGGGCCGGGGCCTTCTCCCGAGCTCTTGGAGCCATGTCCGGAGCAAGGTGTGGCCACCCACCGATTCTAGCGGCCACAGCCGTGTTGTCAAGCACACCAAAAGCACCTCCAGCAAGCCCTAAACCCTGTTTAGGGGTTTAGGGGCTTAGGGGTTTAGGGGTTTAGGGGTTTAGGGGTTTAGGGGTTTAGGGGTTTAGGGGTTTAGGGGTTTAGGGGTTTAGGGGTTTAGGGTTTAGGGCTTAGGGCCCTAAACCCCAAACCCACTCCCGCAGGTCCCAAACCAAAAAGGCCCCACATTGTAAGTGAACCCGCCAGGCACTGTGAAGCCTAAAGCTCAGCCTATGGCAAGGTCAGCCTGCTAGGGTGCCTTGTCTTCCCTCCAGAGGACAAGGACCAGCCTGGACCTCAGTTAGGGTTAGGGCTTGGGGTTTAGGATTTAAGGTTTTTTGGGTTCAGGGTTTAGGGGTTAAGGACTTATTACAAATGGGTTCGGGGTTGAGGGTACGGAAGGGCTTTCTTCAGGGCGAGAGATGTTGATTGGCATCATTGGGGGCTAGTCGGAGGCACAAGGCAAAACACTTCAACGGAGCTTAAAGTAGTTGCGCGCATCATCTTCTTTTTTGACCTAGAGCGGTCTGCTTTGAAACTGCACGCGCACATTCCCCTCTCCAAAAACACCTAAACCCTAAACCAACCTTTTTTTTGGGTGGGGAGGGGGGGGGGAGAGTACGAAATCCCGAAAGCCACAAAGGTTGAATCTTTCCCCTGCTTACCCTGGAGAACTTCAGCTAGTGAGGAACCCGACCCTACACCCTACTTGGAGGTGCATGGTTAACTCTGAGTAGGGTTATTATACTTATTGCCGTAATTTGGGGAACTTATTAGAACCCTACTTATCTTAGCAGCTGAGTGAGCACACTCTACACTTTTTGGGAGACTATAATCCCCTGTAGAACTGAAAGTGTACACTTCTTGGTGGCTTAAGAACTCAGCAGCTAATTTATACCCATGAACCTCCAAGTAAACCCGCCAAGACTAAACCCTAAACCCTAAACCCTTAAACCCTTAAACCCTTAAACCCTTAAGCCCTTAAACCCTTAAACCCTGAAACCCTTAAACCCTCAAACCCTTAACCCCTTAAACCCTTAAACCCTTAACCCCTTAAACCCTTAAACCCTTAAACCCCCCTAAACCCTAAACTTTTCGACCCGAAGAGGCCGCAGCCGTCGAGGAAGTCCGTCGTCAAACAACACGCCAAGCCGAAGGCAAGAGCCCGATGCCGGTGGGTTTAGGGTTTGGGGTTTGGGGTTTAGGGTTTAGGGTTTCAAAAGGGTTTAGGGTTTAGGGTTTAGGGTTTAGGGTTTAGGGTTTAGGGTTTAGGGTTTAGGGGCTGTTTACATGGGGTTTAGGGGTCCAGCCGAGCTGGACGTCGGTAGGCGAATGGGTTTAAGGTTGCCCTGGATGTAAAGTGTTTCGGGGTTAGCGAAACTATGGCCACCGTAGAAATGGTTTTGCGTTTTTGGTTCATACAAAACCCAGGGAAATATTGAAAATGTTCAGAAAATGTTTTTGGTAAGGGTAAAGAGGTCTGGTAGTCCAGCCTCAGCTTCAAGCTGCACAAAAGGTTTCAGTTTGGGCCTTTTGCTTGGTGATCGAGCTGGAAGATGTTTTCTTGAGGGCTGCCCGTTGGGTTCAGGATGGTTCAGCTGAGGGCTTAGGTCAATTTGTTTTTTTGTTGGCAAGTTTAGAGGCTGCTTTTCCCTGAACAGGGTTTAGGGTTTAGGGTTTAGGTTTAGGGCCTAGGGTTAGGGAACAGCGCTTGAACTACGATGTACTGACACTGAGTACAGGAAAGTGATAGCCTCTTTTCGCGGCACGTGCGGCGCAGACTGGGGACGTCGCTTTTGCCTTAAGCGGTGTGCGCATTGACAAACATCGCAACCCCCTTGATGGACACTCGTACCAAGCCTGCGCCGTCGCAGCAGGCGCCCAATTCGAATCGCGCCCCTTATTCCCCCTCTTCTTTGTCTAGGGTTTAGGGTTTAGGGTTCAGGGTTTAGGGTTTAGGGTTTAGGTGGGTTTATCTATCGCGCTCTTGGAGGTCTAGGGTGCTTTATGAAGTGCGGAGCTATCGTCGCTGTTAAGCCTTTGGAGTGGGAATGGTCTTACACGATTTGAGTTCCACCCTTTCATAATTGAGGGTTTAGGGTTTAGGGTTTAGGGTTTAGGGTTTAGGGTTTAGGGTTTAGGGTTTAGGGTTTAGGGTTTAGGGTTTAGGGTTTAGGGCTGTTCAACTCAGCTTTCCCCAGCTTCCACCTCAGCTCTGGGTCCCTTGCTGAGCATCGTAAGGAGCCCTTACTGTGCAGGTACCTCTAAGCCGGACTCCAGTTTAGAACAGAGCCTTGGGACCCTTCTACGAACAGTCCTTACTAGGGGATCCTCGCACCCCTAAACCCTAAACCCTAAACCCTAAACCCTAAACCCTAAACCCTAAACCCTTGGAATCCTAGGGTCCTTTTTGCTCGTACACGGACAGGTTCCGGTGGACCCCGTCCAGGAGCGAATCAAGGCGATGGAAGCCGACGAATCAAGGCCTGAGAACTACCATGTGCTGAAGAACCACCCAAGGGGCTTAGGGTTTAGGGTTTAGGGTTTAGGGTTAGGGTTTAGGGGACACACATTCTTACACATTGTTCCTTATAAGGGGCAATATAGAGATTATTCTTGAAATTTGTTGAAGGGGGGCGGGAGGGGATCTTAAGCAAGCAGTAGAAAGAAAGGGCGCCGAGATCTACTTCTTCGTAGACTCTGATCTTCATCGGCAAGCTAGTGATTTTTTCTGGGTTGTCTGAGGGTGCGGGCTAGTAGATGTCGGCAGATGCTTCTTTGTGTTTCAAGAGGTGAAGAGGGCTCAAGCTACGTACCCACACGGACGGACAACAGACCCCGAAACAACACCTGAGAGATAAGTTCTGCGAGAGCGCAAATCAGCTGTTCGAGCCCTCCGTCTTTATTTCACAAATCGGGGTTTACGATATTAGGGGGTTACGCTTTTGGGGGTCCTTTTATATGGAGATCCTACTGTTTTGGGGTTCATATTAGCTCCTTATTTTCGTAATCCCCCAAATCTCGACAGAGTGCTTTTGGAGTTCAAAGGCGTGGCCCCACGCAGCCAACAAAAGGACGTAGATAGCACCATCTGCATGTTCACACACGCGTGCAATGCCAGCCAACACCAGTGCACGTTGGCTGGTGGGTCTGGTGTACCTTTTCTTCCTGGCCGTCTTCCTGGCCGCCGCTGCAGGTCTTCTTGTGGGGGTTGTTCTAAGCCAGGGTGCTAGGGCCCCTCCAGTCTCCCCTAAGCTGAGACCCCAATGTAGAACACTCCTTCATCCGCGCAAGGCTTTGTGGCTGATCATGGCATGCCAAGAACATGCAAGGGCCTGTGCATTCTCCGTGCTGTCAGAGTCAGGCTACGAGGGTTATTTCTTCTTGGCCGAGCGCAGCATCCACGAGCACCCAGACCAAGCATTCGCAGTGCTTGACCCTAAACCCAAAACCCTAAACCCTAAACCCTAAACCCTAAACCCTAAACCCTAAACCTTGCAGAAACCCTAAACCTTAAACCGAAAGAGACAGCCTCACGGAGCACGGAGCGACTAATTGCTGCAACCTCAAGCATCAGCCGTGCTCTGCCTGCGCCAATTCATCAGTTTCACGATTCTGAGAATGGTCTTGCGACTTGCTATATATATATATATTATAATATGTATAATAATATAAATAATTATGTGTGTATATATATATATATAAATGCATACTTCTGCTCTTACGCTGGCTCAGGAACCAAGTGATCGGGCAATGCTTCGATGGTCGGCCCGGCGGTACGCCGGCAGCACGATCTGCGGGTTTCCGACAATAGGGGTTTAGGGTTTAGGGTTTAGGGTTTAGGGCCCCTTCAAGGGGTTTCTTTTCTATTCGGGATATAAAAAGGGTACCCCTATTTTGGGAAGTGCCCAACTGGTTGACACAGGTGTTTTGCATCCACACTCTACCATCACTCAAGAACTTCGCTTTCTGAGCATCACCATCCTTCGAACAGCTTGGTTGGGAGTCTTGAACAGCTCCCCCACCCGGCCCCATCCCCGTGCCGCATCGAGGATTTTGTGGCTCGAGGCCTTTGCACTTTCTCTTCGATTCGGGATTCGGCTTCCAGCCATCACTATGAAGAGGGCCCATCTGAGGCTTATGTACTGTAGGTGCTTTCCAGCAACCAGCGACCTATTCTTTGTTCAGACTGTTGCTGTGCCGAGCCTCAGCACTACGTGTCTTGCCCAGGTGAGAGTCGTGAGGATGCCAAGTTCACAGTGCGGCCGGGCACTCGACTGGGTGGAAGTTGTTCATCTGTGCTGGGAGGGGGAGGAGGGGGTTGTTGCCATATTTTTTTGTGAGGGTTTAGGGTTTAGGGTTTAGGGTTTAGGGTTTAGGGTTTAGGGTTTAGGGTTTAGGGTTTAGGGTTTAGGGGGCTCTTTCAGGAGTAGATGGATGACAATAACCGCTTCTAGTTTAGAGTGTTTTCTTGACTTCCATATCAAAGACTCAAAAGAGTTCTGAGGGCTGAGTCGCCCCCGAAGCAGCCCCTTATATGGTTTGGGGTTTAGGGTTTAGGGTTCCACTGTATGTATTCCTGCAAGGTTCCTATTTTGTGGGTCTTCCTGTAGCAAGGGAAAAGGGGTACAGTAAACTCCAAAAAGGTTGGAACATTCCTATCCCCCTACCCCAAAAGGTATACTAAAGGGAATCCCATCTCTAGTCATCCTTAAGCCATGTTCCAAACTTTCTGGAGTTTAGGGTTGTGGGGTTGTAGGGTTTAGGGTTTAGAGTTAGTTTAGGGTTTAGGGTTTAGAGTTTAGGGTTTAGGGTTTTGGGGTTTAGGGTTTAGAGTTTAGGGTTTACTGTACGGCATTCTTGGATCCCGGACGGCCCCGCTTCAGGATGTCACTCCTTACTTCGCTATGTCGCCCATGTCAGGGTTGGTCTTAAACACCCCAAGACGAAGTAATATAGGAGCCTGAATAAGTAGAACAGGGTTTGGGGGTTTGGGGGTTTGGGGGGGGGGGGGGGGGTTCTTGTAGTACAATGATAAAGGGACCATAAGGGAAGAGGATTAGTAATTATTCCGACCGGACTGGCTTTCAAATCAGAACAAAGACCCCAAATTTCAAATCAGAACAAAGACCCCAAATCCTACAGAAATGCAATGCGGCAACCACAAAACACAAATCAAAGAGATGCCCAATGCTTTGCATGCGATTGCGCAGCACAAGCCATAGACGTTCGAGGACCTACCAAAACATGAGGAGACGTGAGCTTCTTGAAGTACTTGGCTCATAGATACTTCTAAGGTGAGCAGAAGCACGGTGACCATACGCATAGCCTGACACCGAACCTCCAAGCAGGCAATGGAAGCCTCTCGAAATCCTATATCCTCCGCTCTATCACCTACCGCACGCTCTGTTCTGAACCCGAAGCCCAATAAGCCCGAAACCCCAAACCCCAAACCCTAAGCCCCTAATCCTAAGCTTCTCAACTCTCATGACAGGCCTGAGCCATGAGTCCTGTGGGTTTAGGGTTTAGGGTTGGGAGTCCGGATGCAAAAAGGGTTTAGGGTTTAGGGTACAGGGTTTAGGGTACAGGGTTTAGGGTTTAGGGTTTTGGGTTTAGGGTTTTGGGGTTTTAGGGTTTAGGGTTTAGGGCCCTTTGCCAAGGCCAAGTCCCTGGAACATGCATCCACGCCGCGGCGATCCACCCAATCCGCTGCTTTCCCCAGCCCAAGGATGAGCTTTCAGTGCAACTTTATTGGGGCCTTTTAGGGTTTAGAGTTTCGCATCTTAAGCCCCAAATCTGCCTCAGCACGGGTTCAAAAAGAGCCCCAAATCCTAGGCCCCAATTCTTGTTTAGGGGGTTCCTTGTGGTATGAGTATGTACAGAAAAAGAATCTTGTTCCGTGTTCCTTACAGAAAAGCAAGACAAGATTGCGCTTTTCAACTGTGCTTCGAACGAAGTCTTCTCAGGCAGCTTCTCTGCGACATCCCGGTCTATGCATACGAATGCCCAGCCTGGGCAAGCAGGAGGGATTGTGCCCAGCTCCACCCAGAGGACTCAAGGGATTGAAAGGAGGGACCCTGATATAAGGGACCTTAGGGGTTCTTTAAGGGTTATTTAGGGGCTACTTAGAGATATATCAGGACTGTATAGGGTACATATAGGTTAAGGCTCCCTTCGGGGGGTCCCTCCATATACACCTGAAAGGACGGAAGAAGCGCGTATCCCCCCCTGAGCCGAGGATGTAGGTCGATCACCGTTCGAAGCGGGTGCCCCCCCAAGAAGTCAAGTCACCCTAAACCCTAAACCCTAAACCCTAAACCCTAAACCCTAAGATTATTACGTGTGGCGCGGCTTCAACATCAATCGCCGGGCCTCTCTCTGATTTTCCAATCACAAAAGCTCATCCAAGAGGCACAAAAAATCGCTTCGACTGTTCATGGGGGGGAGGGGGGTGGAATGAGAGGGGGAGGGATGAGGCGGATGAGGGGGTGGGAGTCCACGGAAAGAGGGTGCAACATTCATCAACTGCTCTTCCCCAAGAGTCGAGGATGCCGAGCCCTGCTTCAGCTTCAGGGTGCCTTGCACCCTCAGCCCTAAACCCTAAACCCTAAACCCTAAACCCTAAACCCTAAACCCTAAACCCTAAACCCTAAACCCTAAACCCTACGCCATTTGCAGAGCTTCAGACCCAGAGGCGCGTAGGCTTCCTGAAAAACAGGAGCTGCAGGAGGTGAAGCTCATGAGGACGCAAGAGAGCGGGGTCTTCTGCTTCGGCCTCTTGACTCCGAAAGCTTGCAATTTTGATGCTCTAAGCCCCTAAAAACCCTAAAAAACCCTAAAAAGCCCTAAAAAAACCCTAAAAAACCCTAAAAAAACCTTAAAACCCCGAAAACCCTAAAGCCCTAGAACCCCTAAAAGCCTAAAAACCTAAAAACGCTGTTTGGGGTGGAGGACGGAGTTTTGGAGCTGAAGGCTCAGGAGGGATTGGGCGGGGGAGGGGGGGGAACCCCAAACCCTAGGGGGCCAACAAAAAACAGTGAACCCTAAACCCTAAACTCCAAACCCTAAACCCTAAACCCTAAACTCCAAACCCTAAACCCTAAACCCCAAACCCTAAACCCTAAACCCTAAACCCTAAACCCTGACCCTAAACCCTAAACCCTAAACCTTAGGCAAGCCAAGGCTCGCTGGGCTGGTTCTCGTGGGATCAGGAGGCATGCGATGCGGACGTCTGGTCCTGCACCTTTGGCCCTTGCAATGGGTACCAGACACTTGCACTGCAGTCGTCCGCCTAGAAGTCGTCGTCTGCATAGTCCCCTAAACCCTAAACCCTAAAGCCGAAAGCCTAAACCGAAAAATTGAACCCTTGAGCATCTTGGGGGCCGAC